CTTTAACAACTACCCTGTATATGATTTGAAATAGTTATGGAGATTCCTATTTTGCATAATTTTTCACATGAAATATTTAATTTACATTGTCAAAGCACCTTTTATATCTAAAAATAAAGCACTGTGTAGTTTTTTTCTGTTTGTGAACATTTGAGTAAGCATAATATATTTCAAGTATTCATTTATGACTTCCAAAAGTAAATAATAATAATTTTCTCCCTAATTCACATGACTGGCCCTCCGCTGGTCCTGATCTAAATTTGGGAACCGTTTCCAATGTTTGGAAGGTATTCAAGCCCTACATAGTTACCCCTCAACCTAACAAATCGCTTGAGAAATTGCCCCAGAGCCAGTTCTAAAAAATCACCATTTTGACCTCTAAATGACATTGCAGTTCTATAAAACATTTTTTGGTATTTGCATGAACGTAGAAAAAATATTGTATGCAACTCGTGCAAAAAATGTTTATTGCACTCGACGTGTTGTCCAACTCGGCCTAACGGCCTCGTTGGGCAATTTCACGTCGCATGCAATAAACAATTACTTTTTGTACTTGTTGCATAAATAACTATTAAATCTCGTTTTTCTGACGTGATGGGGTAAAACTGACCCCGGAATTGGATTCAGAACGCCAAAATACCCTATTCAAATAGTCCGGACTTATTTTTTGTAAACCTGTGTAATTCATGCACATTTAACCTCTTTTTAATCGATATGAAGACCTCTAGAAATTTTTATAGTAATTTCTGCACTCACATTTTAATAATCCACTTATAAGTAAACTTAATTATCAACATTTCCAAAAATCAGCAGAAATTTTAAATTTTACTCAATGCGGCAACGTTGCTAAAATCACGCAGAAATTTCCGAACGAAGCTTCCGTGTTTCTACTTCAGATGGCATGATGTCACGTTACAAATTTCGACCAATCGTAAACTCCGTCGAAGCGTCCATTTTATGTTTGTTTGAAATTTTAAAGATGTAGTACAAGAAGTGATTGTTGATGAGTGTTTGTGGTGGTTTTAGTGAAATAGCTTGATGAAAATAATAAATGGTTAGTATATTTATGCAATTTAATATGAGGTGAAAGAATTTTAAGTAGATAATATCGTGGGATGTGTCATATTTTTTTATAGGTACCTTCATACCTAGGTACATTTGTTGTGACTAGTTTAAATGATGTAGGGAATCGATGAATAAACTATTATAATTAACTTTAAACTATGATTTATTTCGGGAAAAGTATAGATAGGTATTAGTATGTGAAATTTAAAAACTTTTAATGCATTCATCATTTTGCGTTTAAGTAAGTTTCTATCTAGAAACCCAACAGTACACATTTCAGTAGTTTTCGTAGATAAAAACAAACATTTCTGATGTCTAAAATGAAAGTTTTGTTTCCTAAAAGATTCATAAGAATAAGAAATATCGACTAGAGAAAATAATACTCTATAATCTTTACATAATAACTAAATATTTTTACTTTTTGATGACTTTTTTATCGAAGTTTTTTGACTAGAGTAAATTATCAGGTATTTTCTTCTTTTTCAGATCGCGTGCCGATTTACCAGTGCCGTAGATTTTTCGTGTAAAGGTAGGAGAAAGATTGTGTTGAAATAAATGAGTAGTTTTAGCAAATTTTAAATATTTAATGAGTAATCAATGTTGTGTGTATAAAAAACATGTATAGGCACAGGAATACTATTTAATAATTATTATTTTTTCTCATTATATACGAGGGAGAAGCGTAAATATATAAAGAATGTCCCAAACAAGAACTTGAATTTCTTAATGACAAAAAAAAAATAGTAATTAAAAAAAAATGATGCAAATATTTTATTGGATTTTCAAGAAAAAATATTGACATTAAATATGAAACAAAATATCTTTTAAATAGTCACCGCGGCTAGGTTTACAGGTGTATATTCGTTTGACGAAATTTTGAAAGAATTTTCGAGCAAAATCGGCAGGATTTCAGGAATATTACGTTTGAAGTACTTTTGGTTATAGAATAAAAATAGGTATTCTTGTAGGATTTATTTAAAAAACGTTTTTTAGCAGAGATAATTTAAAAAAAGTGATATTTATTGCCTAGTAATTGAAATTATGCATATAATCTTTTCAGAATTTGATAAATTAATCAAATAAATATAGAATTACTTTATTTTTCAGTTAAAATCATATTTTTAGGTTTCTATCGATTTTAAAAATGTTGGTAAACCTTTAGATTGGTTTTTAATTTATTTTTTCTACGTAAAAAACAATTTTACATCCAAAAACTTTTCTTTAAATAAAAAAAGTGCCTACATTATTTTATAAAATTTAAAAAAATGTAAATATTGTTAAATTTTAGCTAGTTTTTTGAGTGTTTGGCATCGTCGATGTTATTATTTTTATATTCACATCAACGATTTTGTTTGGGATCATTCCGTTCCTCTCTGACAATAAAGATGTTTGATCCACGCTATTTACGTCTTTTGAAATCATTTATTAAGGGTTACATTTTTTAGAATTTAATTCTAAGATTTGTTAGCTCTATATATTTAATTTCTGATGTAAATTCTTGGGTTAAATAGACAAGGCTGGCAGCGATATAGCCCGATGATATCTTTTATAATTATATTGAACTTACTTGAATCAAACACAGTTACAAACTTAAATTTCTTGTTTTTCTTCTGTAATATAACAGTAAAGTGTTTGATTTTGGAATGTTTAATGAATTGTAAGAGTATCTAGGGGCTTTATTAGAGGTAGGGAATGATAGAATGATTTTGATGTCGGAATGAACTGACGTCGCCGGGAACAGAAGATTTCCGGAGTGTACGGAAATGGATATGGATCGAATAATGGATAGAATGTGAAGTAAAATGGACTAGCCGTTAGCGGGATGAAAAGAAAGCTGCATGGTGTTTATATAAGGTGAGTCTTTTTTCAATTATATTTTAGTTCTTTTACTGCGTTTAAAAAATGATAAAAATGTTCTTATTTTAGTAGAAAACACAGTTAAACATATTTTTAGATTTTTACTTCATTATTTTCCTCCTTAACGTTTTTGGTTTTTTTTTTTTTCATAGGTAAATACAACAATATATTCAAATTATGTATTTTTACTGTTCAAATTAGGTATTTTTTTCATAGGGAAATACACCTATGGTTAGGTTAGATAGTTATTTACATCTATCTAACCTAACCATAGGTGTATTTCCAAGAGGGGGAAGTTTTTGATTGGGGACCTTTTTTTTGTTTAGAAAATTAAATTCAAGTAGAGGAGGAAAAGTTTCTGCTTGAAGAGCTTTTTTTTTTTTTTAGAGACATTTAAGTAAAGAAGAGAGAATATTTTTTATAAAATTGTCATGGGGCCCGATCTATAGAATTGTCCTGGGGCCCGGCTTGGCTCTCAGCGGCCCTGACCTTAATAAGCATATCTAGCCTTTAACTGTTCAATCATCTTAACATAATTGATTTCATGAAGTGGGAAACTTTCTACTAATGCCCTTGGAGGAGATTTTTCTTCAGTATAGCTTGTATCAAATATAAAAACTTGTCTTCTTCGTGGATTTTCCTAAATTGTCCCCAGAAACCTAGCCGTTGCTTAATATCTCCATTAAACTTCTTCAATTGTAGTTTTGATAAGTTAAAGTTTCTCTTACTACTTCTACTGGTGGATCTTTGTGTGTCTTTTGATACTTATTCTTCTTCATTTATTATTCTAAATTCACAGGTGGTTTTATAGTTCTTAAATTGTACCTAAAAATCTAGCCGTTGCTTAATATCTCCATTAAACTTCTTCAAATTTAGTTTTGGTAAGTTAAAAGTTTCTTTTCCTTCTTCTACTGGTGAAACTTTGTGTGTGTGTCTCTTAATACTTCTTCTTGTTGAGCATCATCATTAGTTATTCTATATTCACAGGTGGTTTTATAGTTCCTAAATTGCACCTAGAAACCTAGCCATTGCTTAATATCTTCTTTAAACTTCAATTCTAGTTTTGGTAAGTTAAAGTTTCTGTTGCTTCTTCTACTGGTGAAACTTTGTATGTCTTTTAATACTTCTTCTTCATTCGTTATTCTAAATTCACAGGTGGTTTTATAGTTCCTAAATTGTACCTAAAAACCCAGCCATTGCTTAATATCTCTATTAAACTTCTTCAATTCTAATTTTGGTAAGTTAAAAGTTTCTCTTACTTCTTTTACTGATGGAACTTTGTATGTCTTTTGATACTTCTTCTTATTGACCATCATCATTCACTATTCTAAATCCACAGGTGGTTTTGTAATCAATCAATTGATTTCTATATTATTGGACTTCTTCAAATTCTTTTCTTATGGAATCCATAGTGACTGTTGAGGAAAGAAGTAATTCATATATCTTTTTGAAACATTACTCTAAACCAGTGCTAATAATTCTTGTAAATACCAAATAGTTTTATAATTACTCACAATAACAAGATATTAAAGCCATTTTGCTCTGTACTAGTGCTAATAGTTTTGGTAAATGCCAAATAGTTTTATAGTTGTTCGAAATAACACCACAATAAAGTAATTTTGCTCTCCCGAGAATTATAATGTGTCGATTTACTTTTACGAGCCTTAAATAATAATTTTCTACCTAATTCACCATTTTATAAGTAAATTTTCACCCCAAAAACTGTTAATTCCACTCAAAATCTATTTTCTCCTAATTTGGGAACTGTTGTAGTGTTGCAGAAGCTCAAAAAGAACGATTTTAATATCACCTTGAGGTTTTATGATGCAACTATTACAAAATAACAATTCTAAACCATAATGAATCTTCAACTCGTTATAAACAACAATGGCGGCTTAATAATTCAAATCAAATCGTCAATTGCATTTCCAAAAGTAAATAATTATAATATTCTCCCTAATTCACCACTTTATAAGTAAATTTTCACTCCAAAAGCTGTTAATTCCACTCAGAATCTATTTTATCCTAATTTGGGAACTGTTATAGTGTTGCAAACTTTAAAATGAAACCAAAATATACTAATGCAGTATATTATATATTATTTAAAAAAAGCTGAATAGAAAAAACGTAAACATTAATAAATTAATAGATTAAATGCACTTGTAATAACTTATAAAGGAAATAATGTTAAGATACAAAACCGCCAGTGCTCAAAGCGCCTCCTTTGCCAGTCCATTCTTCTTTTAAATTGACTTTGCAGCCCAAGTCGCGCAGAGCCGCTTTGATGTCGTACTCGATGTCTTTGAATTTGTTTAAATTGTTCTGAAGTACTTCCTCGACGCCCAATTCTAGGAAAGTTTCGTTTTGATATCGGCTTCTGGAGACCATGTTTCTTATAGCGCGACTGCCCTCTTTCTGTAGAGAAAGTTTAAAAATTGAATCTAAATTTGTAATATTGGAAAATAGATCGAAATTTAATCGATAAATAAGAGAAAATTAAAAAAAAAACGCACTCGAACTGTTATATTTGAGTTGGCAATCATGTAGTTGGTTTTCGGAACACAGCTCGACATGACAGTCGACAGCGCGCATCACGCAAGAAGGACTAAAGTATAATTTATAACCACCGTAACGTAACTTAACTTAACGCCGTAGAAACTTAACGTAAGATATAAAAATAAAGTCTATTTATAAATGTCCGTAACGTAAGAGTTGAGCATGCGTGTTGATTTCAGAGATTATCAAATTATTGACAACCTTATGAAATAAACAAGTGTAAACCCCAGTATATATACCAATCAGATCTTTAAAAGTAGGAATTTTAGTTGACACGATCTCACTCTTTTTTTTCTCTTTTTTTTTTTTTTTTTTTTCTTTTCGCCCTTTATCACGTTGTACTTCTTCGAATCCCACTTCTCGTTTTTTTTTCTTTTTTGTTTTTTTTTTTTTGTGTATGAGCGAGATGTGCGATACCTTTATAGACAACGGTTGAACAACTTAATTACTTTGAAGAAGAAAATAGATTAGATATCAGTCTTCGCAAATGTGAGAAGGCAGAACCGTTTTAAAATTTTTTTATATATGTGAAATATTACTTTTAGTTCAAAATATAACGTTAGCTTGTCAAGGAAAATATATAACACACAAGGTTAGAGTAACAAAATAGAGGTTTTGCTTTATTTCTTAAGAATTACTCTAATCTAAAACTTTTCTATGTTGTAGAAATTTATTCTATACGTTATTTAGGTACTTACTGCAAAATCTATAGGAAAGTGTGTAGTTTTAAATATTAAAATTTATAATGGAGACATATTTAGTGTAGTTTTTTTTTACAAATATATACTCAGTGACTTGTTTTAGTGAATGAGTTCAAGTATGGCAGACTAAAATCGTTACTTTTTATTATGAATTTATTTAAAAATGGGAACTATGTATTCGCTCCGTGCGCGACAGCAGCGCCAAATTGTTTTGGTATTAAAGGACTATTTCTGCCTATACTGACAAATACAATTTTTAATAGAATTCGTAAATAAAAAGTATATATGTTAGTTTTAATAAAAGTATATGGATTTATAAAACAATTAAAACATTAATTTATTATTATTATATATTTTTCACGCTTAAATTGAAGAAAACTATGTATAATCATTAAAAATCAATAATAAAATATAGGCAGGCAACAGTATTTACTGGAAAATGTATGAGAAGTTGCCTGAGTCTAATAAGTTGTCATTGAAGAAACCATTTATAATAGCGTGAAGTTAAAATGTATAAAAAGGATCGCTACTTATATTTTCATTTTTGTTCTAAAGAAAACATAGAATGAATGATTAAAACTGGTTTCCGATTAGTAAGTCACAAAATCGCATACCAGCCAAATATTATAATCAACGGCAGAAATCTTGAAATCTAGTCCTTGCTGAATGAACATTTAAGAATAAAGGGATATTAAAGAACATCGTAAAATGATAATTTATTGTTTATTTAAAAACTTTCTAGTTTCTGATGTCTACTATTTCCAGCCTTACTGTTATTATCACAAAAATAAAGGTAATTTTTCTTCTTATTGTACACCTATCCATTTATTTCTTTGATTTAATTTCCACTTTGTTAATGAAATTTGTTATATAAGTTTCACTGTTTTTTTTTTGCTAGTATTTGTACAATTTTCAACACAGCAACTCCGGTTGTTTATTGTGTTGTTTTTACCTACTTTTTTGAAAAAAAGTAAAATGTATACGTGTATTTGATATGCCAAAATTACAAAATATCCCCCTAAAATGCACGAATTATCCGCAGCTAGCGCTAGTATCGCTTTTGCTTCCCTTTCCATGACTTCGCACGGAGCGAATATGGTTTTCGTAGTTTTTACACTTGTAATAAAAATATCAAAGTTATGTTTATTGACCATTTACTACACACAGCAAATTCATAGACAACATATCACTATTTGACATTCTTATTAAACTCATTAATTTAAAATTAACTTTAAATTGAGTGACTACACACAGAATTGTTTGAAAGCAGCCATAAGGTATAATTTATTTATTGGATACTATAAAAAATTAATAGTTACATGTAGAGTTAAGTAACAAGAACTTTAACAACAAAACAAACCTTTATATCTAGTGAACTTAATTTAGTACCTACAGTCCTCAACTTTCTTAGGCTAATATTAACGATATCTATTTAGACCTCGCTAAAAAACTCATTGACAACAGCCATTATCTTGTTAAAAGGAAATATACTACTTGGATCTAAACTAAATAATTTTTTGTTACTTGGGATTCTTAGATTAATCTTTGCCACATTAAAATTTATATAGTCAATCAAATCACAATCTTTGTACTTAACATTATTTAAAATAGAGTACAAAATATATCACAGCATGTTGCTTTCTTCTTTGTAAAAGATTTAATCTTAAAACTATCGAGCATAGTTTTATATGAGATCTTATAAAGGTACAAGTATTTTTTATGGCATAAAGGTATGGTAAAAATATTTTTTGTACTTTTTCAATATGATCAATATGTGTGGCTTTCAAGGGCATCCATATTTGTGAAACATACTCAAGATGGGTCTTAGTAAGGCATTATATAATTTGATTTTGGTGGTAATTATAAATTTTTTTTGTATTTCTGATTTAAAAACCCAAAGCTTTTATTGTTTTTTTAGTTCTGTGTAAGAAATGGTTATTAAACTTCAAATTAGACTGAAAGACAACTCCAAAATCCTTTATCTCATATTCACGATTTAATGTGACATCACAGGTCTTGTGTCTAATGTAAAAAATTAAGAGGCTATGGATCCTTACAACTTAAAATATGCATATGTTTGTAAGTGTTAAATGGACGGATAAAAAGTGTTGTTTTTATTTATAACTATAATAAGAAACATATTATTTTTGATACCTGATAATCAATAAACAATATATTTTGTTACAAATATTTATAATTAACATAATAGTCCTTTAAAAATAATATATTTTGATTTAATTGTTGAATTTATACATGAACAATTTTCCTTCTAGCGTTGTTTACATTTTGCAGAGAACTATTGTATTCTGCTTTTAGCTGATAAATCATGTACATGTAAACGGGTTGAATGTAGACAATGTTAATGTTTTTGCTACTACTGCTGGCTAGAAATGCTGGGCTGGGACACCAACACAAAAAAAACGAAGCACAAAGCACTAGATCAGTTTCTATCACTTATACACTTACAATTTACAACCATTCAAGGAACTAGCATGTTGGAAATACTTTACGAAAACATATTAAACATAAATCAGTCGAATACAATGTATTTTCTTCTTATAAGACACCTTTTTAGCTTGATTACTTCTAGTACTCTATTTATTCCAATGTCCTCAAATAAAACGATCAATAATACGTAACAATAAGGATAAAACACACACTAAAGTGTATTTGGGGTATTTTTGATCTAAATTCAACTATCAAAACAACAAATTTTCCGTTTTTAAGCTGTGAATGTATTACAAAAACTACTTCGATAAAATGTAAACAAAAGTTTGTATTTGTGTACGAAATATGGATTGCCTGGAGTTTTTAACCGGATTTATGACAAGTGATAGGTTATATCCCGAAAACGTCAGCGCAGTAAAAGCTGCGTGTCTTTTTCCTGCCCAGGGAGTGTCATGGGCCTGTGTAAACTATGTACTTAACCTCTAAATAAAACTTATAAATTATGATTTTGCTATATAGAAAGCTACACTTTAAAAGCAATAATATAAAAATATAATAAAACAAAATAGTTTACCGAAGATGTTGATTGCTTTTGAGCAATAATGAGAATTTAATCTTTCCTAGCAAAAAAGTTTTGTGTCTTATTTCAGTTCCAGACTTGATGTTTATAGGTTTATGCAGATACACTCGTATCTCATAGATAGTTTATCCCCAATAACATAAACACAAATCATTCATGATAATGTATGTCCATCAAAAAGGAGAATTATAGTTTACAAATGGTATTTTTCTATTTATTTATAAAAAAAAATGAAAAGAGAATAATTGACAGTTATCACATGCTGAACGCAGAGTTATCTCATTGGCTAACCGTAAGGTCTTTAGTTAAGTTATGTTGTTAAGTTAAAAGTTGGCGAACTTTCTACGGTACGTTAAGTTCTTAAGTTACGTTAAGAACATTATAAATAAGTATACGTAAATTCAATATTTCAACTTCTTACGTTAAGTTCTTAAGTTACGTTACGGCGGTTATAAATTAAGCTTAATTCCCGGGGCCCGGCAGCGGTGATGAGAATTTTTTTTGTTACTTTCAGAAGTTCGACACAAGACTTTTCTTTTAGAGAATTTCAAAACTGTTATATTTAAGAGAATAATATAATAAAAAAAAGGATCTAATAATATTTAATATTAATTACATGCTCCAGAAAATGTACCACAGAAAAAATTGGTTCAAATGTACAAATATGTTTAAAAAAAAAATTAAAAAAAACTACTGAAGAAGGCCCTGAGCAGAGCCGAAAGCTTTCTTTACTTAAACAAGAGTTTCATTTCCTCAACACCTAAAACCCAAGAACTACAAGAAAAAATTATAAACAAAGGTGTAAGAAAAAAAAAATTTAAAAAAGAAGGTTCTCCTTTTATAAAGTAACAATGTTATATTTAAGTTGGTAATCATGTATTTGTTTTTGGGAACACAGCTCGACATGACAGTCGACAGCGCGCATCACGCAAGAAGGATTAATTCCCGGGGCCCGGCAGCGGTGATGAGAATTTTTTTGTTACTTTCAGAAGTTCGACACAACAAGGGGGAAGTTTTTGGTTGAAAACTTTTTTTTTAAAGAATTTCAAATAGAGGAGGAGAAATTTATGCTAGAAGTCCTTTTTCTTTTTTTTTTGTTAGTGATATTCAAGTAGGGGAAAATAAATTTTTTGCCTGAAACCCTTTTTTTATAAAGAAATTCAAGTAGAGGATTAGAAATGTTTGTTTGAAAACCTTTTATCAAATTGTCGCGGGGCCCGATCAATTCTCGGCGGCCCTGGTCTCAACCGTCTGTATCTTGTCATGACACTCATTGTAGTTTTGTATTGTCTTTAAGAATTAAACAACGTAAAAAGTCTTGTCTTTGTCTCGTTTAATACGTAACAGAACCTCAATGGAATTGGGAATTTCAACGTCCTGTTAAAAAATAGATGCCAGTAGGAATTTCTTGTATATCTAAAGGGGTAGCGACATAGTCTTCCATCTTGGACGTTATTTTTATTCGAAATAGTAGTCGATAAGGGTGGCAATTTATGAAGAAATGTATATAATATTGTTTTTATTGTGTTTGATGTAAAATATTTATTCGTGATTTTACGTATAGTGGATAGAATAAATACATCGTATGTCGCAACCTTTTAGATATATCAAACTCCACTTCTCTCTCATCATGATTCGTTTTGAATTTTAGCGTTCACAAACTGAAATAAATTTTGTTTATAAATTTTTATACATTTTTTATAGATTTTCATAAAGTTTTTATAGATTTTAATAATTTCTTATTAATTTTTTAATAGATTTTTATGCATTTTTATAGATTATTATAGATTTTTATACATTTTTTATAGATATTTATAGATTTTCATTGTTTTTATAGATTTTCATAAAATTTTTATAGATTTTCATAAAATTTTTATAACTTTTTATAGATTTTTATAGTTTATTATGCATTTTTATAAATTTTTATGCATTTTATGCAATTTTTATGCATTTTTTTTATAGATTTATTATAGATTATTATAAATTTTTGTAGGTTTTTATTAATTTTTCTTAAATTTTTATAAATTTTTCTAGATTTTCATAAAGTTTTTATAGATTTTCATAAAGTTTTTATTGCTTTTTATAAATATTTATAGATTTTTACAAATTTTTATAAATTTTTTACAAATTTTTATAGTTTTTTATATATTTTAGTAGATCATCCTGTATAAGTGTGGAATTCTAGATATATTGCCAAGTTTGACAGATGTTTTGTTTGATATTTTATAGAGATATACTAATAAACCTTATTTAAGCGAATACTCTCCTATTTTTGCATATTTATAGATTTTTATAGTTTCTTAAATTTTTATTGTTATTTATGGATTTTTTATAGATTTTTGTACATTTTTATAGAGTTTCATAGATTTTTATAGTTGTTCATAGATTTTTTTATAAATTTTCATGGATTTTTATACATTTTCATAGATTTTTATAGATTTTCACAGATTTTTATAGATTTTCATAGGTTTTTATAGATTTTCATGGATTTTTATAGGTGTTTATAGATTTTGATAGATTTTTATGTTTTTATTGATTGTTATAAGTTTTATAGATTTTCATAGATTTTTATAAATATTTATAGTTTTTTATAAATTTTCACAAATTTTTATAAATTTTTATGGATTTCATAGATTTTCATGGATTTTTATAGATTTTAATAGAGTTTTATAAATGTTTACAGATTTTTATAGATTAAGTTTTATAGATTTTAATAGATTTTTATAAATATTTATAGTGTTTATAGATTTTCACAGATTTTTATAGATTTTTATGAATATTTATAGATTTTCATAGGTTTTTATAGATTTTTCATGGATTTTTTATAGATTTTCACAGATTTTCATGTTTTTATTGATTTTTATAACAGTTTTATACATTTTCATAGAATTTTATAAATATTTATAGTTTTTATAGATTTTGACAGATTTTTATAGATTTTAATGAATTTTTTTATGGATTTCATGGATTTTTATAGATTTTCATGGATTTTTATAGGTTTTTATAGATTTTTATAACAGTTTTATAGATTTTCATAGATTTTCATAGATTTTTATGAATTTTTATAGATTTTCATGGATTTTTATAGATTTCGATGGATTTTTATAGGTTTTTATAAATATTTATAGTTCTTATAGATTTCCAAAATTTTTTATAGATTTTTATGAATTTTATAGATGTTCGTGGATTTTCATAAATATTTATGAATTTTTATAGGTTTTTATAGTTTTTTATAGATTTTTATAACAGTTTTATAGATTTTCATAGATTTTTTTATAAATATTTATAGTGTTTATAGATTTTCACAGATTTTTATAGATTTTTATGGATATTTATAGATTTTCATAGGTTTTTATAGATTTTCATGGATTTTTATAGATTTTCACAGATTTTCATGTTTTTATTGATTTTTATAACAGTTTTATACATTTTCATAGAATTTTATAAATATTTATAGTTTTTATAGATTTTGACAGATTTTTATAGATTTTAATGAATTTTTTATGGATTTCATGGATTTTTATAGATTTTCATGGATTTTTATAGGTTTTTATAGATTTTTACAGATTTTTATAAGTTTTATAGATTTTCATAGATTTTTATAGATTTTTATGAATTTTTATAGATTTTCATGGATTTTTATAGATTTCGATGGATTTTTATAAATATTTATAGTTCTTATAGATTTCCAAAGATTTTTATAGATTTTAATGAATTTTTTATGGATTTTATAGATGTTCATCGGATTTTCATGAATTTTTATAGGTTTTTATAGTTTTTCATAGATTTTTATAGATTTTTATAACAGTTTTATAGATTTTCATAGATTTTTTTATAAATATTTATAGTTTTTATAGATTTTCACAGATTTTTATAGATTTTTTTATGGATTTTCATAGATTTTCATGGATTTTTATAGATTTTCACAGATTTTTTTTAGATTTTTATAACAGTTTTATAGATTTTAATAGATTTTTATAAATATTTATAGTTTTTTATAAATTTTCACAGATTTTTATGGATTTTATAGATTTTAATAGATTTTCACAGATTTTTTTAGATTTTTATAACAGTTTTATAGATTTTAATAGATTTTCATATATTTTTACAAATATTTATAGTTTTTATAAATTTTCAGATTTTTATGGATTTTCATAGATTTTTATAGATTTTCATGGATTTTTTTATAGATTTTAATAGATTTTTATAACAGTTTTATAAATTTTCATAGATTTTTATAATTGTTTATAGATTTTTATAAACTTTTATAGTTATTTATGTACTTTTATATATTTTTTAGATTTTTCAAACAGTTTTATAGATTTTTATAATTTATAAATTTTCATAGTTATTTATGTATTTTTATAATATTTTTTATAGATTTTTTATAAATTTCTAGATTTTTATATATTTCTATAAATTTTTATAAATGATTTTTAGAGGTTTTTATACATATTTTTTTTAGATTTTTATAGATTTTTAGTTTTTTTTTATTTTTATACATTTTCATAGATTTTTATAGATTTTTATAGATTGAGTTTTATAGAATTTTATATATTTTCTAGATTTTTTTTAGTTTTCATAAATTTTTCATACATAGCTTTTTTTTAGTACACTTTACAAATCGTGCATCTAACTCTCTAACTATTCAACTTACCTGAACTTGTTTTTCATCCGAATACATTTTCATTATAACAACAATCACCGCTGGTATTCCAGCTTCAAACAAAGCTTTGCTATTATCAGGCGATCTAAGCGTGAGCGCAGCTATGGCTGACAGTCCGGCTACAGCCGTTATACCGCTCTAAAATGGAATAGTATATATTAAAAAAAAAATCTGAACATAATCAAATTTATCCAATTTCCATTATACATGAGAGGCCTTCGACTATAATTTGGAAATTTTATGCAGCAAACAAGTTATAAGATCGTAGAAAGTTTTAATGGTCAAGAGTAAAGGGACTATGTTAATTCGAGCGCAATCTTTACGTAAATTGACATGGGAAATCGCTAAGGATCATTCTGGCAATTTTTGTCGCTTTCAAGGTCACTCGTCTTGACGTCATGACACGTTAAGTCAGACGTTTCGTTTTACGTTACGTTTGACGTTTTCGTTTAACGTTTCGTTTGCCGTTTTCGTTTTCCGTTTCGTTTCTACCAAAGGGGCAGTATCGAAGGTATAGAAAACGTCAAACGGCAAACGAAAACGTCAAACGAAACATTAAACGAAAACGTCAAACGTAATTTCAAACGAAAACGTCAAACGAAACATTAAACGAAAACGTCGCACGAAACGTAAAACGAAACGTAAAACGAAACATTAAACGAAAACGTCAAACGAAACGTCAAACGTAACGTCAAACGAAAACGTCAAACGAAAACGTCAAACGAAACGTAAAACGAAACATTAAACGAAAACGTCACACGAAACGTCAACGAAACATTAAACGAAAACGTCAAACGTAACGTCAAACGAAAACGTCAAACGAAAACGTCAAACGAAACGCAAAACGAAACATTAAACGAAAACGTCACACGAAACGTCAAACGAAACATTAAACGAAAACGTCACACGAAACGTAAACGAAACATTAAACGAAAACGTCAAACGAAACATTAAACGAAAACGTCACACGAAACGTAAAACGAAACATTAAACGAAAACGTCAAACGAAACGTCAAACGTAACGTCAAACGTAACGTCAAACGTAACGTCAAACGTAACGTCAAACGAAAACATTAAACGAAACGTAAAACGTAACATTAAACGAAAACGTCACACGAAACGTCAAACGTAACGGTTAAGAAATAAATTATACGGTAATAACGGCGCAATGTTGTATAATGGAAAATGAATGATCAATTACATAAATTATTCTAGTATTGCAATCAGGAAATAGAACGTCGAATCTGAATAATTGATCTGTTGAACTTTAGTTTAAAGTCAGAAATTAAAGGGTTTTCAGATGATACTCCTAAACAATTGATACTTGTCTTAAGACCAAATAAATCCTGAATGAATTATTATTTTCTTCACAAAATTGTAAAGATTGTGGCTCTAGAAGTGGTACAGCTTCTGGGTGTGGATTAGCTAGGTGTAATAACTTTATTATTAATAACGATAACGGTATTTTTAACTATTTATTATAAAATATACTCACTTTATTTTCGTTTAGAGCTGAAGTGAGAATTGGCGCCAAACCTTTGTGTATTAAATACGATTTGCATTCATCATTTCCAGCTAAAGCTTTTATTAGTTTGAAACATTGCCGATTTATTCTCTACAAAATATTAATTTTGTTTAATGGTAAAACATTAAAAAGAATATTAATTTTTTATATAGAATGATGTGCAAAAAGATTAAAAATGGCAATGCACAAATTTGAATAATATAATTGGGATAAAAAACACTGTAATTAGCCAAAAATTAGTCTAAAATGAAAATTTTTAGTACAGCATGAAGACCTAGATAATAATAAAGATTTTTAACTTCTTTTGGAAAAATCGGAAGCAGTTATATATACATATATATACATTTTTCCGTGTTTTTTGTCAGTTTTTTGTATTTTACTCGAAAACGATGCGTTTTTATGAAAAATTTCACTGGACTATTTTTGAAGAACAAATAATTTCCTATCGATTATGTTCTTGTACATTTTTTGGTAAACTTCATATTTTAGCTGCAAGGACGCGGTAAAAAATCTGTTTATAATGTGGGAAACACAAAAATTAATAACAATAAAAAATAATAAAAATTTAACAAAAATTATTAATAAATATTAATATAAATGATTAAAAATGAATAAAAATGATTAAAATTAATAAAAAAATGATTAAAAACTAATAAAGTTGATAAAAAGTAATAAAAATTGATTAAAAATTAATATAAATGATTAAAAATAATTAAAAAATGATTAAAAATCAAAAAAAATTATTAAAATTAATAAAAAATTATTAAAAATTAATAAAAAATGATTAAAAATCAATAAAAAATTATTAAAAATCAATAAAAAAATTATTAAAATTAATAAAAAATTAGTACAAACTAATAATGATTAAAAATCAATAAAAAAAATGATTAAAATTAGTAAAAAAATGATTAAAAATTAATAAAAAAATTAATACAAACTAATAAAAATTAATAAAAATGATTAAAAATTAATAAAAAATTAATAAAAATGATTAAAAATTAATAAAAATCAATATAAATGATTAAAAATTAATAAAAAATGATTAAAATTAATAAAAAAATAATTAAAAGTTGATAAAAATTATTAAAAAGTAATAAAAATTGATTAAAAATCAATAAAAAAATAATTAAAAATTAATAAAAAATGATTAAAAATCAATAAAAAATTATTAAAAATCAATAAAAAAATGATTAAAATTAGTAAAAAAATGATTAAAAATTATTAAAAATGATTAAAAATTAATAAAAGTTAATAAAAATGATTAAAAATTAATAAAAAATGATTAAAAATTAATAAAAAAATTAATAAAAATGATTAAAAATGATTAAAAATTAATAAAAATCAATATAAATGATTAAAAATTAATAAAAAATGATTAAAATTAATAAAAAAAATAATTAAAAGTTGATAAAAATTATTAAAAAGTAATAAAAATTGATTAAAAATCAATAAAAAAATGATTAAAATTAATAAAAAATTATTAAAAATTAATAAAATGATTAAAAATTAATAAAAAATGATTAAAAATCAATAAAAAATTATTAAAAATCAATAAAAAAATGATTAAAAATTAATAAAAAATAATTAAAATACATACCTCATTACTTTTAAAATTATTCATGATGTCCATTACCATTTCTATTCCTTGGGCATCTTTCACTTTTTTGCAAAATTCGTTTCTAACCATTAGCGCCGTTACGGTCAATATCAAGTCGTGAATAAAAGATTCGTCCAATTGGAATTCTGTAATTAATATTAAAAGTTTTAAAATTTTAAACACTGAATTGAAAATTTTAGTTCTAGAACGTACTTTTCATTAAAAACGTCAAATAACACAAAAATTCGCTAGCGATAATTCTGGCGTGTTCGTGTGCGTTTCCGAATTCTACGCGAACGTCGTCGTCTAGAATGAGGGCTCTAAATACGGACAATACTTCTCTGATTATTTCGGGATTTGAATCTTTCAAAAGGTCTTTTAAATTTTCCAAAATACGGGCGTTAAAAATGTTTTGCCTAAAAAACAAATAGATTATAAATTTTTATAAGTTATTTAAAGATTTTTGTGGTATTTTACAGATTTTTTATAGTTTGTTATAGTTTTTTATACGTTTTTATACGTTTTTATACGTTTTTATACGTTTTTATACGTTTTTATATGTTTTTTTATACGTTTTTATATGTTTTTTATACGTTTTTTATAAGTTTCTATAAGTTTTTATAAGTAAGTTTTTATAAAGTTTTATTGTTTTTTATAGTTTTTTTAATTTATTATACTTTTTATATAGGTTCTTATCATTTTTTATACTTTTTTTTTACAGTTTTTTTATAGAATGTAATAGATTATTAGTTTTTTTTATAGATTTTTATAGATTTTCATAAATTTTTATAGATTTTCATAGATTTTTATAGATTTTCATAAATTTTCATAGATTTTCATAGATTTTTATAGATTTTCATAGATTTTCATAGATTTTCATAGATTTTTATAGATTTTTAGTTATTATTAGTAAGTTTTTATAAAGTTTTATTGTTTTTTTATAGGTTTCTTAGTTTCTTATACTTTTTATATAGGTTTTTATGTTTTATAGTTTTTTTTACAGTTTTTTATAGAATGTTATAGATTATTATAGTTTTTTTATAGATAAATATAGATTTTTATAGATTTACATAGATTTTTATATAGATTTTCATAAATTTTCATAGATTTTCATAGATTTTTATAGATTTTCATAGATTTTCATAGATTTTCATAGATTTTCATAGATTTTTATAGATTTTTAGTTATTATTAGTAAGTTTTTATAAAGTTTTATTGTTTTTTTATAGGTTTCTTAGTTTCTTATACTTTTTATATAGGTTTTTATGTTTTATAGTTTTTTTTACAGTTTTTTATAGAATGTTATAGATTATTATAGTTTTTTTTATAGATAAATATAGATTTTTATAGATTTACATAGATTTTTATATAGATTTTCATAGATTTTCATAGATTTTTATAAATTTTTATAGGTTTTTTATAGATTTTCATAGATTTTTATGAATTTTTATTGATTTTTATAGATTTTTTATAGATTTTCAGAGATTTTTATAGATTTTCAGAGATTTTCATAGATTTTCATAGGTTTTTATAGATTTTTATAAATTTTTATAGATTTTTATAGATATTTATAGATTTTTATAGATTTTTAATAGATATTCTAAATTTTTTTTTTTTTTTCGTTTTTATTGTTTTTTAATCTTTTTTATTGAATGTTATAGATTATTATAGTTTTTTTTTTATAGATTTTAGATTTATATAGATTTTTATAAATTTTAATAGATTTTTTGTTGACATTTTACATGTTTTTTATAGGTTATTATTGCTTTTTTTATAGCGTTTTAGTGTTTTTTAAGTTTTTATATAGTTTTTTTATAGTTTTTATATAGTTTTTTTATAGTTTTTATTGTTTTTTAATCTTTTTAATAGAATGTTATAGATTATTATAGTTTTTTTATAGATAAATATAGATTTTTATAGATTTACATAGATTTTTATATAGATTTTCATAGATTTTCATAGATTTTCATAGATTTTCATAGATTTTCATAGATTTTTATAAATTTTTATAGGTTTTTATAGATTTTCATAGATTTTTATGAATTTTTATTGATTTTTATAGATTTTTTATAGATTTTCAGAGATTTTTATAGATTTTCAGAGATTTTCATAGATTTTCATAGGTTTTTATAGATTTTTATAAATTTTTATAGATTTTTATAGATATTTATAGATTTTTATAGATTTTTAATAGATATTCTAAATTTTTTTTTTTTTTCGTTTTTATTGTTTTTTAATCTTTTTTATTGAATGTTATAGATTATTATAGTTTTTTTTTATAGATTTTAGATTTATATAGATTTTTATAAATTTTAATAGATTTTTTGTTGACATTTTACATGTTTTTTATAGGTTATTATTGCTTTTTTATAGCGTTTTAGTGTTTTTTAAGTTTTTATATAGTTTTTTTATAGTTTTTATATAGTTTTTTTATAGTTTTTATTGTTTTTTAATCTTTTTAATAGAATGTTATAGATTATTATAGTTTTTTTTATAGATTTTTAAATGTTTTTATAGATTTTATAGGGTTTTATAGATTTTTAAAGAGTTTTTATTGATTTTTTTACATATTTTTTATAGGTTTCTATTGTTTTTTATAGTTTTTCTAATTGTTATATAGTTTTTTTAGTTTTTTTTTGTTTTTTAGTTTCTTATGTTTTTTTTTTATGATTTCTTATGGTTTCATATGATTTCTTCTTATGGTTTCCTATAGCTTCTTATAATTTATTAGTTTCTTATAGCTTTTTTAGGTTTTTTAATATTTTTTTTATAGTTTTTATTGATTTTTATAAAATGTTATAGATTATTATAGTTTTTTTTTATAAATTTTTATTATTTTTTATAGAATTTTATAGTTTTTAATATATTTTTATAGATTTTTACAAAAAGCAAAAGAAAAAAAATCAAAAATAATCAAAAAATAAAAAAAAACAAAAAATGAAAGATATAAAAAATACAATATTTCTTAATAATAATACTTAGTATAAAATAAGTTTGATGATTAAGACATTGCTACTTCAAGGGTATTTTGAAACTAAACTCTAGTAACTAGAAATCATAAAATGAGTGTGCAAAGAATGCAAGAATTGACCATTTTTAATCTGAGGTTTTTAATTAGTGAATTATTCCAAACTAGAGGAGGCATAACTACATAGTTCCAAAATATAATCAAAACAAAATTGATTTAACATACCAACAACAAAAACATATTTCCAACAGGTAATTTTAAATGTTTACTCACATGTTTCTAGTAAAACTAGTCCACAATATATTTAAAAAACTGATAATATTTACCTGTTATTTTCATGCATAACACAGCATTCTTTAATCCATCTCAATGTCAGTTTCTTCAGATCAAAATCAACTTTCGGATTCAAGAATCTAAACATAGCTTGTATACCTCTACTATCCAACAAATCTGGCTGTTTTGTCATAAGAGAAGTCAGGGTTTTTAAACATATTCTCTCAACAACAATAAAAGTTCTTTTTGTGTCTAGTACATCTAATAAAACATTATAAGCACCAGCTTTGCCTAAAAATGTTTTATAATTATTTACAATACACTGTATTTTTTTTATTTTTAAGCATTACCCACTGCAACTTTGTTCGCTAGCCCCTTATCACATTCAATTCTAATCACATCCATCTGATCCATCAATACCTTATCAGGCGTGTCTATTTTGTTTAAATCTTTTAATTTTTTCACAGCAGCATTTATATCATCCTCCATTGAAGATTCTAAACTTAGTTCTTTGATGATTGAACTTAAATCAACACCCTAAACAAGAGAACTGTCATTATGATTATGACAATGTTGCAAAGTCAAAATCAGTGGTGTGTAATCCGAATAAAGCTATTAGGTATAAAAAGATTTGGACTTACTTGTGATTCAAATTGTGTTACAGCCTCTTCCAATGCTTCTTGTGGTTCTAACCCGAGTTCTTCGATGTTTTCGCGAACTGCATCGTCAAAAGTTTGTTGAGATATAATGAGTACCATTATTAGTATATTTATTCAAAAGTTGATGGTATATTATTCTTTTGCAACTCTTTGACTTTGTGTAAGTGTATTTTTTATATGATTAGAAAAACACTTGGAGAAAACATATAAATGTACCTGCTGTATTGTGGTGTGGGTAACTTTCTATTTTACTTTCAATTCCTACACGATAACACAATGGACATAACAAATACACAAAACACTCTTTAATAAACACGTAATTAATGAAAAACACGATATAAATTGTAAAAATGCAATAGAAAATAAGAAAAAAACATAAATTTCCTCATAAATTTAAACAATGAACTTCTTCTTTTTTAATTTTTATGACAGATGACAGTTCCTTTCCTAGATTAGTTATACAGCCCACTGTTCTACGAACCTTATATACAGCTCACTACGAGCACTTTACTTTATAATATACAAGGCGTTTCGTTAACAAAGCAACCGTAAACACGTAATTGATATAATTAAGACGCAACTCAACTTTTTTCGCTTTAAAATTACGGTTTTTTTTAAGATTAAAAACTTCGGTGATATGGCAACCCTGTTGGCCTGGTGATTTGACAGGGTCAATGAAGTACAGTTATATAGATTGGTCATCTATGAATTTCAAAATTTATTAGTTATACCATCCAAGAGTAATATCGACATTTACAGGGTAGGAAAGATAAAATATTAGAATAATAATACAAATACAAAATTTTTAATAAGATATAGAATACAATGTAAACATTTAGGAAAAAAAATTGATCGAACACTGGATAAAAATAAACATACGGTTCGACCAGCTTTAAGCAATCTATATAACTGTCAGATAAGAGGCTCGCAGGGTTGCCATATCATAACTAAAAGCAGCATTTTAGTGATTTTAATGTTTCAATATAGTCAAGGTGATTTTTACAGGAAAAAAATATGTGATTTAAATATGTAATGGACAAAATAGTGATGAATATATTTTTATTTCATGAAGGTGAGAGGGGAATCTATCACGTCCCAGTTTTAAGCTAGTAACAGTTTTTAGTATAGGTGAATTAACTACTTTCTTTAACTACAAAAAATTCTGTAATATTTTGTGGAAATGAACCGAAATATCTTTTTTACATTTCAAGGAGGGGGGAAATGGGAAGTATCGTAAAAATTAATAAATAAAATAATAAAAATTATTGAAAATTGATAAAAATCAATAAAAATTAATAAGAAACTAATAAAAATAATTAAACATTAATAAAATTAGTAAAAATTAGTAAAAATTAATAAAAATCAATAAAAATTAGTAAAAATTGATAAAAATTAATAAAAAATAATTAAAATTAGTAAAAAAAAAATTAAAATTAATAGACAACAATAAAAATTAATATGAATTATTAAAAATAATTAAAAATTAGTAAAAATTGATAAAAAACAATAAAAATTAGTAAAAATTGTTTAAAATTAATGGAAAACAATAAAAATTAGTAAAAATTAATAAAAATCAATAAAAATTAGTAAAAATTGATAAAAATTAATAAAAAATAATTAAAATTAGTAAAAAAAAAATTAAAATTAATAGACAACAATAAAAATTAATATGAATTATTAAAAATAATTAAAAATTAGTAAAAATTGATAAAAAACAATAAAAATTAGTAAAAATTGTTTAAAATTAATGGAAAACAATAAAAATTAGTAAAAATTAATAAAAATCAATAAAAATTAGTAAAAATTGATAAAAATTAATAAAAAATAATTAAAATTAGTAAAAAAAAAATTAAAATTAATAGACAACAATAAAAATTAATATGAATTATTAAAAATAATTAAAAATTAGTAAAAATTGATAAAAAACAATAAAAATTAGTAAAGATTGTTTCAAATTAATAGAAAACAATAAAAATTAATAAAAATTGTTAAAAATTAGTAAAAATTGATAAAAATTATTAAAAATTAGTAAAAATTATTAAAAATTAGTAAAAATTGATAAAAATTAATAAAAAAAAATAATAATTATTTAAAATTAATAGAAAACAATAAAAATTAATATAAATTATTAAAAATAATTAAAAATTAGTAAAAATTAATAAAAATTGATAAAAATTAGTAAAAATTGTTTAAAATTAATAGAAAACAATAAAAATTGGTAAAAAATTAATAAAAATGAATAAAAATTAGTAAAAAATATTTAAAATTAGTAGAAAACAATAAAAATTAATATAAACTATTAAAAATAATTAAAAATTAGTAAAAATTGATAAAAATTAATAAAATTTATTTTAAATTAATGAAAATTAATATTAATTAATAAAAAATAGTAAAAATGAATAAAAACTACTTACCATATCATTATAAAATAAATACTCATATCTATATAGATGAATATATACTTATATTAGCTTGAATTATTTACAAAGTATACAGAATAAAAACAACAACTTACACGTAGCTATAAAATATATAATATGTATATATGTATAATTCAATAGACTATAAATAAAACTTAAGTTATCAGTATTGGACAGATTTTTTTTTAAGGTAAAAATGCAACGTTTCAATTATATAAAGTACTAACTAATCGACTCCAGCGAAACCTTGAGACCCTTCGATTGCTTTCACCAGTTTATCCTTCAAGTGGGTGTAGCTCTCGTAAGGCGGCAAATCCAATCGATTGAAACTGAAAATATTAACATTTTATTTTATATTTATTAAATCGAGAATATAATTATAACCTACCAAGTATGTGCCCGTGGGAAATTTTCCGTAGTGCCCCATTTTTCTATTGTAAACAATTGGGGTCCGTTGCTGCCGTATAATTCTTTGAAACCATTCATAGGCACTCTAGAGGTTCCGGTAACGAATTGCAACAATCTAGCTCTCATTTCGTTACTAAATGACAGAACAACCTGCAGAATATACAATTATTAAAAATTATATGAGATATAGTGTTTAACATTAATAGTCCAATCAAATAGACCTTTATTTTCATTTATTTTTAATTTATTTGAATTTATTTGAATTTATTTAAATTTATTTGAATTTATTTGAATTTATTTGAATTTATTTGAATTTATTTGAATTTATTTGAATTTATTTGAATTTATTTGAATTTATTTGAATTTATTTGAATTTATTTGAATTTATTTGAATTTATTTGAATTTATCTGAATTTATTTTTATTTATTTTCCATTATTTTCATTTTTTATTTATTTTCAATTATTTTCAAAAAAAAATTTATTTTTTTTTTATTTTTTTTTATATTTTATTATTTTTATTGAATTTTATTTAAATTTATTTGTCCTCAAAAATAAACAATTAGTCATGGATTTCATTCACTTTATTTGTATTTGTTTATTTATTTTATTTTCTTTTATTTTTATCTTTTCATTTATTCTAATTTTTAACTATTTTTATTTATTTTCATTTATTTTTATTTATTTTATTTTTATATATTTTAGTTATTTTTATTGATTTTTAATTATATTTCAGAAAATAAAAGGAAACTAAAAAATCATTGAATTTTCTCCAACATTTTTGAAGGTCTATTTGATTAGACTAAAAAAACGATATTCACTACTAATTTCTTCAAATTTTGGCGCGAGACATCTTAATTTTCAAGAAAATTACTTATTAAATCGAACACAAGCTGTAATATTTCGAAAATTAAAACACGGAATTCCACAAGGATCCGTTTTAGAACCAGTTTTTTTTTGCTATAAATTAACGATCTAACAAAAATTTAAAAAATCTGGAAACTTTACGATTTCTCAAAACAATTAAATACTGGTGTATTGTAACATAAAAAAACTGTACACCCCCATCCCCCCCCCCCCCCCCGTTTGTGCATAATGTATGAAATATTATTTACAAAAAACAGATTAATTACCATACACACATCTGAATGAAATGTATTGAGAATTATCTACGTCCAGACAGGGTCATTAACTGGGGTCAAATCGGTTTGCACAATTTGTACATACAGGGGGTTTGCACATACAACAATATACTACTAGTTTCTTTTTCTTAACAAATAGACCTTTGACTTTACGTAGATAATCATTCAAGAACCTTAACAAGACATTAACTTAGAAAATTTAAAAATCTCACCCTCCAAAACCACTGGATCACAATATGATTCGAATGGTAATCCCCTTTGTATAAAGTATTCACTTTCCAATCTTTCACGTCGATATGTTGGATACCGCACATCAATAGTTCCAATTCGTGTTCGTCGAATATTTTCATAAGATTCAACGGTATTAATTCACTAAAACCTTCTAGAAACGCGTTCATTTGTTCTTGCACCCTTCCGATGAACCTCCATTGGATTATACATCTATTGATATATAAAAAAAGAAGAAATTTACTTTTTTTTAATTTTTTACTTTTTGAATTTTTTACTTTGACTTCTATTTATAAACTTTTTTTGAGTCTTAATTTTTCTGACTTTTTCTAACTTTTTTACTTTGACTTTTTACTTGACTTTTTACTTTGACTTTTTCGAATTTTTTTACTTTGACTTTTTTTTACTTTTTTAACTTTGACTTTTTTGAATTTTTTAACTTTTTTACTTTTTGAATTTTTTACTTCGACTTTTTTTGACTTTTTTACTTTGACTTTTTTTGATTTTTTGACTTTTTTTTTTGACTTTTTCCAACTTTTTTACTTTGACTTTTTTTTTTACTTTTTTGACTTTTTGACTTTTTTTGATTTTTTTTACTTTGACTTTCCAACTTTTTTACTTTGACTTTTTTTTACTTTTTTGACTTTTTTTTATTTTTTTTTTACTTTTTTTGACTTTTTTTTTACTTTTTTTGACTTTTACTTTTTGAATAAAAGAAAAATATTCACTTACTTGATGTATTCATCCTTATTAGAATTGTCTAAAGGAACGTCGGCTCCGCCATCGATGAGTTCGTGCACGGAAGTGTGTCCGAACGATTCCTCGTCGACGGAAAACGTCAAATCCAAATCGGACGGATCGTTTTCCTTTATCCACAAAAGCGATTTGTAATATTCGGAATCCACCGATTCCATATCTTTCAAATCGATCGTTTTCGACAACATCATTTTATAAAAAGGTCTAATGAAGAATGCTGAAAATACAAAGGATAATTATCTAGTAAATTTGACTTTTCTGACTTTTTTGAGTATCTTATCTTTTTTTGACTTTTTTTGACTTTTTTGACTTTTTTTTACTTTTTTTTGACTTTTTTGACTTTTATTGACTTTTTTTAACTATTTTTGACTTTTACTTTTTGAATTTTTTTGACTTTTTTAACTATTTTTGACTTTTTTACTTTTTGAATTTTTTTGACTTTTTTTGACTTTTTTACTTTTTGAATTTTTTACTTTGACTTTTTTACTTTTTGAATTTTTTACTTTGACTTTTTTACTTTTTGAATTTTTTACTTTGACTTTTTTACATTTTGAATTTTTTTACTTTGACTTCGACTTTTTTTGACACAAAAATATATTAAGAAGCTATTTTCAGAACATATATCTCAAATATTACGAACCATCTAATAATTTTCCGTGGTAAACGGCCATTCCCGCTACGCGTCCTATAAATTTGAAATAACTAAGGTGATCCTCGTTGCATAGTCCTGAGAAAGGATTTATTTGTAATGTGTAATTATCCCTAAAAAAAAAACAATATTTTAATGATGCAGTTGTGTGAAATGTTAGTTATATAACCATGGCAATGTTATATAATTGACAGTAAAAAAATAAAATAAAAGCAAAACAAAAACCTAATAAAAAACTAAAAAAAAAAAACGAAAAGAAGCAAAACAGAAAAACAAAAATACCAAAAAAGATACAAAACAAAAAAAGAATATAACAAAAACAAACAAAATAACAAACTAAATAACAAAAAACAAACAAAAAATTGATCAAAATAGTTCTGTACTCTATTGTGTTTTTAAAAATTCATTTTTTTCCTTATTTAATAATAAATTTAATTTGAATTTTACTAAAAATGCAAGCAAACTAAAAATGTTTATGAATAAAACAAAACAAAATATAAACAAAACAAAACCTAATAAAAAACTAACAAAAAACAGAAAAAAAACCAAAACAAAAAATAAAAGCAATACAAATAAACAAAAATACTTAAAGACAAAAATATCAAGAAAAAAAATATATTTAAATACTATATTCATAACTTACATAGCTGAATATTCAAATAGCCCATAATAAGGATTGAACATCTCTTTCGACAATAAGTAGAACCATTCTCTCGCCAAGCCTCCGTAATCCAAACCGACTTCGCCCTCGAATTCGATCCACAGCTTCGTTTTAAGTAAATCTATCTTCGAAACGGACGTGATGACTCTATACGAATCTTCTAATATGCTTCGTCTTCTGACTTTTATTTCAAATTTGTTGGGAACGTTGGTCTATAATTGCGATATTTTAAATGAAAATAAAGTCAGTGGAATAATATGTAAAGGGTGATCCACAAACTATGCTTCTAAAGAAGGCCACGACTACCAACAAAGACAAAAAGATAGATATTGAGTGACATCTAAGAAGAAAAATAATTGTACCCTCTGACATTTGTAAATTTGTTTAAAATCTACTTTAGAAACATTTTTTGTAGATCGCTCTGTACTATATTAACTGAAATATCTTATAGTGTGTGTCATGAAGGTAAATTATTAAGGCAATTCTTTTTTAATATTATAAAATAGATTTTTATGTATTTTTATAATTTTTTTATAGGTTTTTATAAGTTTTTTTTAAAGTGTTTTATAGATTTTTAAAGAGTTTTATAGATTTTCTAAAGATTTTTTTAGGTTTTATAAATTTTTATGGGTTTTTATAGATTTTTATAATTTTTTAAAAAGTTTTATAGGTTTTTTTTTTATAAAATCTTATAGATTTTTATAATTTTTATAGCTTTTTATTAATTTTTATAGATTTTTATAGCTTTCTATAGACTTTTATAGAATCTAATATATTTTTATAGGGTTTTTATAGATTTTTATAAAATTTTATAGATTTTTATACATTTTCATAGAATCTGATAGATTTTTTTATAGGTTTTTATACATTTTTATAAAATTTTATAGGTTTTTATACATTTTCATAGAATCTTAGGGGTTTATAAGTTTTTATAGAATCTTAGAGATTTTTATAGAATCTTACAGATTTTTTTATGGATATTTATAGATTTTTGTAGGTTTTTATACATTTTTAAAGATTTTTATAGAATCTTATAGATTTTTTTGAAGATTTTTATAGGTTTTTATACATTTTTAAAGATTTTTATAGAATCTTACAGATTTTTATAGAATCTTATAGATTTTTTTGAAGATTTTTATAGGTTTTTTGATAGACTCTTATAAATTTTTATAGATTTTAAAAGATTTTTATAAAATCTTATAGATTTTTATAGAATCTCATAGATTTTTATAGGTTTTTATAGAATTTTATAGGTTTTTATACATTTTCATAGAATCTTAGGGGTTTATAGTTTTTTATAGAATCTTACAGATTTTTTATGGTTATTTATAGGTTTTTATACATTTTTAAAGATTTTTATAGAATCTTACAGATTTTTATAGAATCTTATAGATTTTTTTGAAGATTTTTATAGGTTTTTTGATAGACTCTTATAAATTTTTATAGATTTTAAAAGATTTTTATAAAATCTTATAGATTTTTATAGAATCTCATAGATTTTTATAGAATTTTATAGGTTTTTATACATTTTCATAGAATCTTAGGGGTTTATAGTTTTTTATAGAATCTTACAGATTTTTTATGGTTATTTATAATTTTTATAGGTTTTTATACATTTTTAAAGATTTTTATAGAATCTTACAGATTTTTATAGAATCTTATAGATTTTCATAACTTTTTATAGATATTTTTGTAGAATTTTATAGATTTATATAGATTTTTATAGGTTTTTCATAGAATCTTGTAAATTTTTATAGTTTTTATAGGGTTTTATAGGATTTTATAGATTTGTATATAATCCTATAGATTTTTATAGAATCTTATAGATTTTTATACATTTTTAGATTTTAAAAGATTTTTTATAAAATCTTATAGATTTTTATAGGTTTTTATAGATTTTTATAGATTTTTATAGATTTTTATAGATTTTTAATACATTTTCAATACATTTTCAATACATTTTCATAGAATCTTATAGATTTTTATAGAATTTTATAGGTTTTTAATACATTTTCATAGAATCTCATAGATTTTTATAGGTTTTTATACATTTTTAAAGATTTTTATGGAATCTTACAGATTTTTAGAGAATCTTATAGATTTGTATAACTTTTTATATATTTTTTTGTAGATTTATATAGATTTTTATAGGTTTTTCATAGAATCTCATAAATTTTTATAGGTTTTTATAGGGTTTCGTAGGTTTTTATAGATTTGCATATAATCCTCTAGATTTTAAAAGATTTTTATAAAATCTTATAGCTTTTTATAGATTTTTATAGAATTATATAGATTTTTAATACATTTTCATAGAATCTTATACATTTTTATATATTTTTATAGAATCTAATATATTTTTATAGATTTTTATGGGGTTTTATAGGTTTTTATACATTTTTATAGAATCTTATAGATTTATATAGGGTTTTAGATATTTTTTATAGGTTTTTAGATATTTTTTATATATTTTTATGAATATGTCTTTCATTCCTCTTTAACAATCATATCACTTAAGTTTTAACTTATGTTTGGATTGATATAAAAATGAAAAAAAAAAATGTATTGTCTCAAAAAACATCTAACATCTGTATCGGTAACGTATGGAGGGTGGGTTACCCCCACGGCACTTAGGCCTCATTAGGCCCATTGTGCATCCTCCTGAGATGATAAACAAACACCTAGCATATCAGATTAAAAAAAAATGACCAATTAAATAATAATTCAATTCCAATGAGATGACAAGGTAGATAAACATTTTAAATTTATAGTTACACGATATGTTTCGCAAAAACAAAACAATTCAGTTCAATATATTTATCACTTACCGGTTTTTTAAGTTGCGTTTTCATATATTCGTATTTCCTTTTATAATCTCTAGAATACGGAATAGCCGGACCTGCTATTTGCGGATTAGACAACCTGGGATCTTCCCATTGCGTAGTCCTCGTATCTAAACGAATAAACTTTGATATAAAGCCTTTAAACGCAAGTACAACCAAAGAAAATCTCCTTTAAGTAAACATACGCGCTGTCAAATATTTTTCAGACACTTACTGTGATCAATAAAGAATATTCTCCCATCGGCATGAACTCTCTCCTCCCAACCTTCCGGTAACGGTCCCAAATCATCATCCGGACGTTTATTAACGACCGGAATCGCGGGTTGGTTGGGCATCGGACTCGCTCGACCCGTCCGGGGATCCACCCAAGACGTCGCTCGTTCGTTATGATCGATGAAGAACAGACGACCGTTCGGTGCGCGTTGAATGCTCCAACCGGGCGGTAAACCTTCCGATAGAACGTCCAAGTTATTTTGAGAATTACTATTGCTGGTAGATGTCGAGACTGTTGAGTCCCTTCTGGATGAATTGTTTGAAAAACTGTCGCCCTGATCGTCGCTCTATAAATAACAAGATAAAATTCGCTAATCAGCTGATCTAAACCGGTGATTCGCTACGCCATAACGGCTGGAATATTTCCCAAGAAACATTATCTATGAACTTGCATTGAAAAAACATCAAAAACATCGAAAAGCAACCATGTTCTTAACAGCTAACAGAAGAACCTACAACCATCCCTAACCGGGAAGTAACAAATTTATTAACAATTCAATAACCTATTCATGCAACACTCTCCCCCAACCGTTCTATTCTCTATAGTCATCAGACACCATTAAACTCTGTAACATTTTAAAAATGTTATTTTAAATTAGAGCCACTCCGTATATATGAATTAAATTGTATTAAAATGATTTAAAATCTAATATATCGCCGTTTATTTATCTGATTTTTTTGCTAAATTCATCGTTAAATTGGAAACAAGTGTCTGATTGCAGTAGCGGTAAGTTTTTAATGTCATTGGAAAAATCTAATTAGTCTTTGCATTTCTACCTTTTTATTAAATAAATGATTTGATTTGAAACGCTGCACAATCCTGTCGCGATGATAAAAAATGGCACAGCTATGCGATGTTTGGAGAAAATGTAACGAAAATTAAACATATATGTTTAATATTTAATAATAATAACTTTCTTTCGCACCAAAAAAGAGCATAAATAATTAAACGATTGAAAGCCAATGTTGGTTTATCACAGCATCTCAAAAAATTCAATAGCAAGTATTTGATTCTAGGCCTACTAATTATTGTTTACACTTTCGTATAAAATAAAATATGAACTTTTGAAAATTATGCATCAAAACTTATTATAAAGAAAACATTGATTTTCCAAATTTTGTAGTCAAAAATGTTAAAAAACTATCAACAAAATAACTTAGGGTAATTTTACTATAGGACCCCCCCAATTTACCCACCTATGAAGATGATCAAAAACTGTGGTTTAATCAAGTCAATAGAGCGTAAAATGTTTAGCATTTGTACCAAATTTCACTTAGTTATCTTTAAACGTTTAGAAAATATTTACAAAAATATGTCATCAGGACTTTTCTAAAACACATCATTTGACTTTATCAGCTTGCCATTTTAAAATCAGCAAATATTTTGAATTGCTGTTCTCAAACAAATATTCTAACAACAGTTTTTAAACGTTTTTGAAAGTATGAAATGTTTTTCTTCATTGGTTTTAAGACAGTGATGATTTAAAGATGGCAGTATGGCATTTCTAGAAATTTATAATTTGACTTTATCAGCTTGCTATTTTAAAATCAGCAAATATTTTGAATTGCTATTCTCAAACAAATATTTTGACAACAGTTTTTAAATGTTTCTATAAGTATAAAATGTTTTTCTTCATCGGTTTTAAGACAGTGATTATATAAAGATGGCAGTGTGGCATTTCTAGAAATTCATAATTTGACTTTATCAGCTAGCCATTTTAAAATCAGCAAATATTTTGAATTGCTGTTATCAAACAAATATTCTGACAACAGTTTTTAAACGTCTCTAAAAGTATGAAATGTTTTTCTTCATTAGTTTTAAGACAGTGATTATTTAAAGATGGCAGTGTGGCATTTCTAGAAATTCATAATTTGACTTTATCAGCTAGCCATTTTAAAATCAGCAAATATTTCGAATTGCTGTTCTCAAACAAATATTCTGACAACAGTTTTTAAACGTTTCTGAAAGTATGAAATGTTTTTCTTCATTGGTTTTAAGACAATGATTATTTAGAGATGGCAGTGTGGCATTTATAGAAACACATAAATTGACTTTATCAGCTTGTCATTTTAAAATCAACAAATATTTTGAATTACTGTTCTCAAACAAATATTCTGACAACAGTTTTTAAACGTTTCTAAAAGTATGAAATGTTTTTCTTCATTAGTTTTAAGACAGTGATTATTAAGATGGCAGTGTGGCATTTCTAAAAATTCATAATTTGACTTTATCAGCTAGCCATTTTAAAATCAGCAAATATTTCGAATTGCTGTTCTCAAACAAATATTCTGACAACAGTTTTTAAACGTTTCTGAAAGTATGAAATGTTTTTCTTCATTGGTTTTAAGACAGTGATGATTTAAAGATGGCAGTGTGGCATTTCTAGAAATTTATAATTTGACTTTATCAGCTTGCTATTTTAAAATCAGCAAATATTTTGAATTGCTGTTCTCAAACAAATATTCTAACAACAGTTTTTAAACGTTTTTGAAAGTATGAAATGTTTTTCTTCATTGGTTTTAAGACAGTGATGATTTAAAGATGGCAGTGTGGCATTTCTAGAAATTTATAATTTGACTTTATCAGCTTGCTATTTTAAAATCAGCAAATATTTTGAATTGCTGTTCTCAAACAAATATTCTGACAACAGTTTTGAAACGTTTTTGAAAGTATGAAATGTTTTTCTTCATTGATTTTAAGACAGTGATTATTTATAGATGGCAGTGTGTCATTTCTAGAAATTTATAATTTGACTTTATCAGCTTGCTATTTTAAAATCAGCAAATATTTTGAATTGCTGTTCTCAAACAAATATTCTGACAACAGTTTTGAAACGTTTTTGAAAGTATGAAATGTTTTTCTTCATTGATTTTAAGACAGTGATTATTTATAGATGGCAGTGTGTCATTTCTAGAAATTTATAATTTGACTTTATCAGCTTGCTATTTTAAAATCAGCAAATATTTTGAATTGCTGTTCTCAAACAAATATTCTGACAACAGTTTTGAAACGTTTTTGAAAGTATGAAATGTTTTTCTTCATTGGTTTTAAGACAGTGATTATTTAAAGATGGCAGTGTGGCATTTATAGAAACACATAATTTGACTTTATCAGCTTGCTATTTTAAAATCAGCAAATATTTCGAATTGCTGTTCTCAAACAAATATTCTGACAACAGTTTTGAAACGTTTCTGAAAGTATGAAATATTTTTCTTTATTAGTTTTAAGACAATGATTATTTAAAAATACCAGTGTGACATTTCTAGAAATTCATAATTTGACTTTATCAGCTAGCCATTTTAAAATCATCAAATATTTTGAATTGCTGTTCTCAAACAAATATTCTGACAACAGTTTTTAATCGTTTTTGAAAATATGAAATGTTTTTCTTCATTGGTTTTAAGACAGTGATTATTTAAAGATGGCAGTGTGGCATTTATAGAAACACATAATTTGACTTTATCAGCTTGCTATTTTAAAATCAGCAAATATTTCGAATTGCTGTTCTCAAACAAATATTCTGACAACAGTTTTGAAACGTTTCTGAAAGTATGAAATATTTTTCTTTATTAGTTTTAAGACAATGATTATTTAAAAATACCAGTGTGACATTTCTAGAAATTCATAATTTGACTTTATCAGCTAGCCATTTTAAAATCATCAAATATTTTGAATTGCTGTTCTCAAACAAATATTCTGACAACAGTTTTTAATCGTTTTTGAAAATATGAAATGTTTTTCTTCGTTGGTTTTAAGACAGTGATTATTTAAAGATTGCAGTGTGACATTTATAGAAGTTTTTCTTTTATCTTTTTATGCACTTTTTCAACTAGCTAGGGAATATTTTTATTTCTACAAAATAGATTATATAGAAGATGTAACATCCTGACTTTCGTAGGCAAAACACAATACACACAGTCCGTAATTTCTAAATTTCTACCATTCATTAACAAGTATCGAATTCCAAAGCAAAACAAGACAATTATAAAGCTCAAGCGTACCAACCTCATTATTATCAACGTCATCCTCGTTACGTCCACCACCACCACTTTCGAACGTTAGTTGGTATTGCGGCATATCAATAGAACTCCTCCTACTGCTGTCGTTACTTTCGACCGACGCATTATAATCTGTATCGCACAGATCGGACGTAACGCTATTTCTGTTTTCGGTCAAAGATATGGCATTTTCCCGGTTATCCTCTATAAGATTGTCATTCTCGTCGTCGCGTTGTCGTTCTATTATTATTTCAGGTACAATGGCGGATGCGACGTCAGCATTAACGGCCTGATGATCATGCAAAAAGAATGCTCATGCGAGTTTCTTTTAAAGGTTGTTAAGGCCGATTTACACGTATCCAGCAGTCGCTAGTACTGGAGCAAATAGACCCTGTATCTATTTCCAAATATGTACGCCACTGCTGCAGACAACGTCTGAACACGTGAATGTTAGTTGCTAGTACAACTATGAAGGTTGCGCATTGCATTTATTGATAAAATGAGCCGAAAATTCAATGAAGATGAGCACTGTATAGAGAAAAAAAAGTTTGTAGAATATCCGAAGATTGCTATTGAAGGATTTAAGATTGAAAAAATAATAAACGAAAATACACGCTACTACTGGATACGTGTAAACCGGCCTTTAGTCAGTAATGAAAAAAATGTTATGACAAGCAGAGCGGAAATTAAAAAAGAAGAAGAATGTTAAAGTGTTGCACCGCAAGCTTGTTGTTATCGGTTAAAAAAATCAAAAAAATATCAGATTATCATTAAATGTGTATGTATAATGTTTCTTGGGAAATAACCGTACATATTTTGATTTAAACATTAATTATCAGTATACAGGGTATTTATTAATTGATTGCCGACACTTAAGGGTGTGAATCATTGGATGATTTTAAGTAGTTAATATCTACGTATATCAAAAACCTCTTAATTTTTATTATAGATAGAAGAAAAAAATTAATTTTTAATCATAATTTTTTTAACACCCTAGTATTTTTTGACGCAAAAGATTTTTTAAATATTCACCAGTGACTGAATATTTTTGAAGAAAAAAATAGTACGCCACTGTTTTTTTTAAATCCTCATTTATTTTGGAGCAAATTTGGTTCATAGATTTACTTTCGTACGACCGACCGATTTCACGTGAAAATAAAAATAAAAAACAAAACTTTTTTTTTAAAGTTCATTAAAACAGCTTTTGATATTTTAGTCCAAAAGAAATTGGACAAAAAATTACCCTGAAACGAAGATTTTTAGTAAAACATACGACACCTAGAGAGCAATAAATTGTTTCATGAAAGTAGGGAGGAAATGGGGGAGCAAAAGGATGCATGCGATTTTTGAAGAAAAAAAAATGGTACGCCACTGCTTTTTTTTCTTTTCTTCTAAAAACCAAAATTATTTTTGAAATTCTCATTTATTTTAGAGAAATTTTTAGTACAGCATACAGACCTAGACAGCAATAAATTTTTTCATAAAAGTAGAGAGGAAATGGGGGAGCAAAAGGATCATGCGATGGTAAAACCAAAAGGATGCGATGAGGAATCAGAGAGATGCAACGGAGAATCAAAAAGATGTGAGGAGGAATTAAAAGCCTGAGAGGGCGGGGGCAGAAGCATAATTGGTATTGCGAAACTGTCTTGAATACCTATAAGAGAGGTTATAATCAAAGTGAGTGACCTACTAAACAGGTTATATAAGAATAAACAGTAATGATATTGAAGACTGCTAAAAAGTTTAAACAAGTTTGAGCAATTTATTCAAAGATGAGATTCAGACATAAGAATGAGGAAGAAACAATTATATATGTATACATATAGAAAATTTTGTTATGAAAGTAGAGAAGAAAAGTGGAAGCAAAAGGATACATGAGATGGGAATCACAGAGATGCGATATAGAGTTTGTTTTTCTCAATTTAAACTCGTCGAAGAATTTTATAAATATAACGAAATTATAAATGCAACTGCAAGATACACCAAAGAATGTAAAAAACATTAATATCATCTTCAAAACTATCCGGTTATACTTAAATTGGATCAATAACATGCTTTCTATGTTTTTTATAACTATGTATTCTAAAGAATATACAAAATTAGACCATTTCACTTGATTTAAATAATATTTTTTTATAAAAAACTGAGCGAAAACTGTAAATATTCACATTGATTTTATCAATTAATTTAACAAGTATTTACCTGACTAGTGTCGCCCCTATCGTTGGATTCTTCATCGGCACTTATGTGAAAACGTCTTTCGAAAACTTCCCTTTGTTCTTCCCGTTCACCAGTCTGGATATCTGGAGAACTAGACCAGCAAAACAAAAGAAAAAGCAATATTAATAAACTATTAATGATCTTCTAAAAAAGGGACATTAAGAAACTATCATTTCGCGAGTTTTTATCTGAAGAATCATTAAAATAGTAATTAAAGATGAAAAAATTGGAAATAGCGGTAAAAATACAACCCTTGAAGTTTTTGAAGTAAAATTTTTTAAACCGCTGTTCGATATTTAACGAGAATGGAGAGTGAAATTTCAAGGACATGTAACTTTACACCTGTAACCATGGTAACGTCACGAAATTAAAAGAATGTTGATCTTGAGAGTTTGAAAGATGCAGAGCGGAACGAGTGCGGAACAGAGTGGATTAGAAAGGAAACTGAGCAGAGGGAAGCAAATGGAGTAGTTTAGAGTGAAGTAGAGTGGAGTAGAGTGAAGAAAAGTGGAATAGAGTGAAGGAGAGTGGAGTATAGTGGAGTAGAGTAAAGAATAGTGGAGTAGAGTGAAGTAAACTAGAGTAGAGTGAAGGAAAGTGGAGTAGAGTGAAAGAGAGTGGAGTATAGTGGAGTAGAGTGAAGAAGAATGGAGTAGAGTGAAGTAAACTAGAGTAGAGTGAAGGAAAGTGGAGTAGAGTGAAAGAGAGTGGAGTATAGTGGAGTAGAGTGAAGAAGAATGGAGTAGAGTGAAATAGACTGGAGTAGAGTGAAGGAAAGTGAAGAAGAGTGAAGGAGAATGCAGTATTTTCTTCCTCTCTCTTTCTCTATTCAAACCCGTTAGATAGAAACTATTTGATGGGGCCTAAAATACTGATATTAACCTTAAAGTAGGCCTTTCCCACTGTGTCGTTCTGGCTATGTGATTGACGTAGTAAGTTCTTCCATTAGCATCTTGTCTTTCTTCCCATCCAGGCGGCAACGAACTCTGCGTTTGAGTAGACGGCGTTACAAACAAGGGCTGAAATAATTTATTTAATTGCTTACATTGTAATCAAGAGTTTCAATGAAAACAATTAAGTTAAAGTTACTATATTTTTCTGAAAAACACTTTGATTGGATTGTTGAGTAAAAATTTTGCACGTCCTAGATTAAATATCGCTATATCAAAACTTTTTATGCTGTTAGATCGTACCTGAGCAGCGACTTCTTCCCTTCCAGCACCGACGATTTCCCAATCGCGTTCGTCGTGCGGTTCTTCGGGAGCGGCAATCGGAGGCAGAGTGGTATCGAATAAGAAGGCGTGATATAATTCCAGATGACCTCTAACCCTTGAACGTGCACTAAAATCGCTTTATGGAGTAATAATAAATGAGATATCCATGCAACGTTAGCTAGTGTATATAATAAAGCAAAAACATTTTATAAAACAGTAATAGTATCGAAGTTAAATACTAATGATGTAAGTGATGTAAAAGGAGCAATAAAACTAAGTATAATTAAATTAAATAATGAAAAACTCGTTTCCTAATGTTCAACATTATGCAACTGGTTGTATAAAGTAGATTATTTTTGAATTTGAATTAATTTTCGAACTCATATCATCAAAAATTTAAAAAAATAGGGGGTTCTCCAGATTAATTAAGGTTATGTATGCCGACAGCAAGTCAAATAAAAATTACCCTACACAACACTGGGTATATTTTTTTCATCTCGATGCGTTTGTCTTTTAAATAGTTATAGGCTGGAATAATTTATCTTGATAACTTTCCACATTTAGGAACACTTTTTAGAGTTTAGACAACGTCTGAACGCGTTTACTCTACATTTCTGAACGCATCCCAGTAATAATTTTTACAGATACCTGAATAAGCAAAGCTTGTTAAAGAAGAATTTTGTTTTAAATACACAACTTATATGATAGCAATGTGACATTTATAGAAACACATAATTTGTCTTTATCAGCTCCCCATTTTAAAATCAGCAAATATTTTGAATTGCTGTTCTCAAATAAACATTTTGACAACAGTTTTTAAACGTTTCTGAGTATATGAAATGTTTTTCTTCATTGGTTTTAAGACAATCATTATTTAAAGATGACAGTGACATTTCTAGAAATGCATAATTTGTCTTTATCAGCTCACCATTTTAAAATCAGCAAATATTTTGAATTGCTGTTCTCAAATAAACATTTTGACAACAGTTTTTAAACGTTTCTGAGTATATGAAATGTTTTTCTTCATTGGTTTTAAGACAATCATTATTTAAAGATGACAGTGACATTTCTAGAAATGCATAATTTGTTTTTATCAGCTCACCATTTTAAAATCAGCAAATATTTTGAATTGCTGTTCTCAAATAAACATTTTGACAACAGTTTTTAAACGTTTCTGAGTATATGAAATGTTTTTCTTCATTGGTTTTAAGACAATCATTATTTAAAGATGACAGTGACATTTCTAGAAATGCATAATTTGTCTTTATCAGCTCACCATTTTAAAATCAGCAAATATTTTGAATTGCTGTTCTCAAATAAACATTTTGACAACAGTTTTTAAACGTTTCTGAGTATATGAAATGTTTTTCTTCATTGGTTTTAAGACAATCATTATTTAAAGATGACAGTGACATTTCTAGAAATGCATAATTTGTCTTTATCAGCTCACCATTTTAAAATCAGCAAATATTTTGAATTGCTGTTCTCAAATAAACATTTTGACAACAGTTTTTAAACGTTTCTGAGTATATGAAATGTTTTTCTTCATTGGTTTTAAAACAATCATTATTTAAAGATGACAGTGACATTTCTAGAAATGCATAATTTGTCTTTATCAGCTCACCATTTTAAAATCAGCAAATATTTTGAATTGCTGTTCTCAAATAAACATTTTGACAACAGTTTTTAAACGTTTCTGAGTATATGAAATGTTTTTCTTCATTGGTTTTAAGACAATCATTATTTAAAGATGACAGTGACATTTCTAGAAATGCATAATTTGTTTTTATCAGCTCACCATTTTAAAATCAGCAAATATTTTGAATTGCTGTTCTCAAATAAACATTTTGACAACAGTTTTTAAACGTTTCTGAGTATATGAAATGTTTTTCTTCATTGGTTTTAAGACAATCATTATTTAAAGATGACAGTGACATTTCTAGAAATGCATAATTTGTCTTTATCAGCTCACCATTTTAAAATCAGCAAATATTTTGAATTGCTGTTCTCAAATAAACATTTTGACAACAGTTTTTAAACGTTTCTGAGTATATGAAATGTTTTTCTTCATTGGTTTTAAGACAATCATTATTTAAAGATGACAGTGACATTTCTAGAAATGCATAATTTGTCTTTATCAGCTCACCATTTTAAAATCAGCAAATATTTTGAATTGCTGTTCTCAAATAAACATTTTGACAACAGTTTTTAAACGTTTCTGAGTATATGAAATGTTTTTCTTCATTGGTTTTAAGACAATCATTATTTAAAGATGACAGTGACATTTCTAGAAATGCATAATTTGTCTTTATCAGCTCACCATTTTAAAATCAGCAAATATTTTGAATTGCTGTTCTCAAATAAACATTTTGACAACAGTTTTTAAACGTTTCTGAGTATATGAAATGTTTTTCTTCATTGGTTTTAAGACAATCATTATTTAAAGATGACAGTGACATTTCTAGAAATGCATAATTTGTTTTTATCAGCTCACCATTTTAAAATCAGCAAATATTTTGAATTGCTGTTCTCAAATAAACATTTTGACAACAGTTTTTAAACGTTTCTGAGTATATGAAATGTTTTTCTTCATTGGTTTTAAGACAATCATTATTTAAAGATGACAGTGACATTTCTAGAAATGCATAATTTGTCTTTATCAGCTCACCATTTTAAAATCAGCAAATATTTTGAATTGCTGTTCTCAAATAAACATTTTGACAACAGTTTTTAAACGTTTCTGAGTATATGAAATGTTTTTCTTCATTGGTTTTAAGACAATCATTATTTAAAGATGACAGTGACATTTCTAGAAATGCATAATTTGTCTTTATCAGCTCACCATTTTAAAATCAGCAAATATTTTGAATTGCTGTTCTCAAATAAACATTTTGACAACAGTTTTTAAACGTTTCTGAGTATATGAAATGTTTTTCTTCATTGGTTTTAAGACAATCATTATTTAAAGATGACAGTGACATTTCTAGAAATGCATAATTTGTTTTTATCAGCTCACCATTTTAAAATAAGCAAATATTTTGAATTGCTGTTCTCAAATAAACATTTTGACAACAGTTTTTAAACGTTTCTGAGTATATGAAATGTTTTTCTTCATTGGTTTTAAGACAATCATTATTTAAAGATGACAGTGACATTTCTAGAAATGCATAATTTGTCTTTATCAGCTCACCATTTTAAAATCAGCAAATATTTTGAATTGCTGTTCTCAAATAAACATTTTGACAACAGTTTTTAAACGTTTCTGAGTATATGAAATGTTTTTCTTCATTGGTTTTAAGACAATCATTATTTAAAGATGACAGTGACATTTCTAGAAATGCATAATTTGTCTTTATCAGCTCACCATTTTAAAATCAGCAAATATTTTGAATTGCTGTTCTCAAATAAACATTTTGACAACAGTTTTTAAACGTTTCTGAGTATATGAAATGTTTTTCTTCATTGGTTTTAAGACAATCATTATTTAAAGATGACAGTGACATTTCTAGAAATGCATAATTTGTCTTTATCAGCTCACCATTTTAAAATCAGCAAATATTTTGAATTGCTGTTCTCAAATAAACATTTTGACAACAGTTTTTAAACGTTTCTGAGTATATGAAATGTTTTTCTTCATTGGTTTTAAGACAATCATTATTTAAAGATGACAGTGACATTTCTAGAAATGCATAATTTGTCTTTATCAGCTCACCATTTTAAAATCAGCAAATATTTTGAATTGCTGTTCTCAAATAAACATTTTGACAACAGTTTTTAAACGTTTCTGAGTATATGAAATGTTTTTCTTCATTGGTTTTAAGACAATCATTATTTAAAGATGACAGTGACATTTCTAGAAATGCATAATTTGTCTTTATCAGCTCACCATTTTAAAATCAGCAAATATTTTGAATTGCTGTTCTCAAATAAACATTTTGACAACAGTTTTTAAACGTTTCTGAGTATATGAAATGTTTTTCTTCATTGGTTTTAAGACAATCATTATTTAAAGATGACAGTGACATTTCTAGAAATGCATAATTTGTCTTTATCAGCTCACCATTTTAAAATCAGCAAATATTTTGAATTGCTGTTCTCAAATAAACATTTTGACAACAGTTTTTAAACGTTTCTGAGTATATGAAATGTTTTTCTTCATTGGTTTTAAAACAATCATTATTTAAAGATGACAGTGACATTTCTAGAAATGCATAATTTGTCTTTATCAGCTCACCATTTTAAAATCAGCAAATATTTTGAATTGCTGTTCTCAAATAAACATTTTGACAACAGTTTTTAAACGTTTCTGAGTATATGAAATGTTTTTCTTCATTGGTTTTAAGACAATCATTATTTAAAGATGACAGTGACATTTCTAGAAATGCATAATTTGTTTTTATCAGCTCACCATTTTAAAATCAGCAAATATTTTGAATTGCTGTTCTCAAATAAACATTTTGACAACAGTTTTTAAACGTTTCTGAGTATATGAAATGTTTTTCTTCATTGGTTTTAAGACAATCATTATTTAAAGATGACAGTGACATTTCTAGAAATGCATAATTTGTCTTTATCAGCTCACCATTTTAAAATCAGCAAATATTTTGAATTGCTGTTCTCAAATAAACATTTTGACAACAGTTTTTAAACGTTTCTGAGTATATGAAATGTTTTTCTTCATTGGTTTTAAGACAATCATTATTTAAAGATGACAGTGACATTTCTAGAAATGCATAATTTGTCTTTATCAGCTCACCATTTTAAAATCAGCAAATATTTTGAATTGCTGTTCTCAAATAAACATTTTGACAACAGTTTTTAAACGTTTCTGAGTATATGAAATGTTTTTCTTCATTGGTTTTAAGACAATCATTATTTAAAGATGACAGTGACATTTCTAGAAATGCATAATTTGTCTTTATCAGCTCACCATTTTAAAATCAGCAAATATTTTGAATTGCTGTTCTCAAATAAACATTTTGACAACAGTTTTTAAACGTTTCTGAGTATATGAAATGTTTTTCTTCATTGGTTTTAAGACAATCATTATTTAAAGATGACAGTGACATTTCTAGAAATGCATAATTTGTTTTTATCAGCTCACCATTTTAAAATCAGCAAATATTT